CCAGCCCTGGGGAACGCGGCCTTCGGCCGCGCTCCTCATTGTGGACTCAAACGGGAATCCCGAGCTCATGGCCCGGGTGAGAGTTCGTAGGTTGAAGGCAGCGGCAAATCCACTATCAGGAACTGCGGCGGTTTGTCGCGATGCGATCAATTCCATGAGAAAAATGATTTCGTTGTTGGGCTTTGGCACTGACCACCTTCTGACGGTTTCTAAAACTCGTCGGTTCGTAATCTTCGTCATGAAAATCCGCCATAGATAATCCTGATGATATCACTATACAACCGGAAAAGTCTTGAACGCTATTCCGAACAGTCAATTGAACCCCCAAGATGAGCAAACAATCGATCGAGCAGATCTTGAACTCGAGCCTATCTTGCTGCGTAGATTCGCATTGGCGCCTCACAACGGAAACGGCCGCGCCGCCGCGGCGGCAAAGGAGACGGAGCGCAGAATTAAAACTGTCCGTCATTTCCATAGGGATTATCGGGTTCGAACTGATACTCCGGACGGCATGGGCCATGAGCCCTTATGAATATCTCCGTAAAATGCTAGAAATAGAAAAATTATAGCGCAGAAAACGAACGCAGGCAGAACGGAACTCCGTCGCATTAGCGCGAGCGCAAGGGGCCACCGCGTCACGGCCCCTTCTGTGTCGAAATGAGGTTCGAGCTGGTGATGTGCTTTCAAGCAATGGGAGGGGGTGTCCGTGCTTCACAGACGTTTTGGTCGGAATCGGTGAGGATTTTTGTCTACAGACAGACAGAGTGACACACAGACTTAGCGTTTTATATATGGGGGATGTTCCGCAAAAAGCTTCCCAATAGGTCACGTAATTAGGCTGGGCCTAGGGACACTTGTCCCCTCTCTTGAAATCTATAAAAGGCGACTGACATGGGCCACAGTTATTCATTCTGGAGTTTAGTCCAAGCAGCCTTGCACGGTGGACCTTCTACCTTACTACCTCGAACACTCGACCAACAGAAAAGTAAGCGAAAAACATGCAATCGTAGATTGGTGTCCCTTTTACATATATGCTTCAAGTGCCGTAAGCCCCCTTATACATTATCATTCGTGCATAGATTATCTCGAGAACGATCCTTGATCATTATGAAACTTTGTATAAAGCTCTCGTAAAACAAACTTCTCGTATAGCGAATATTTATTTTAAAGAACATCCCACCCTATGAATAGCTTACGACATTATTCTTTTACGGGAGGCTCGTTTCACGCGAAATTCGTTACACCAAAGCTTCGTTCCACTCGTGGCTTCTCCGCGCAACCAGGGGCTCCCTATATCCGGTTCTTTACTCCACACCAATTCGCGAGGGAAGTCATTCGATCAACATGTGATAGTCTTGTATTTCATCGATTGTATTTGAGGATTTGAGGACGAGTCTTCGGAAAAGAAATGCAGAGCCTGGAACCTCGTCTTTCCTGCTGAAAGTGATAACGATGTCCAACGTCAGCGAATCATTGAGAGTCTCCGCGTTCTGACTGCTCCCAACGAGTCGAGAAGACTCGTCACCAGTTTGACCGTATTCTACGGAGAGGCGAAAAGCACGAAGAAAGTCGGAAGAGTCCGTAGGGCTTGTACGTTACTGGAGGCGCATTATCATGCACTAGTTGAAACCTCCGAAGCCACGAAAGCATCCGATCTCGCTAACCCGCTGGAAGATACGCCGTCGTCCATCAGCACCGTGAGGTTGCCCGAGAAATGGACGCTGTACATGAGGGCTCTCAAGGACGCGAGGCCCTTCGTGTGGTCGGAAAGCTCAGGGGGCTCGAGTTCGTCGGAGGGACCCAGCCAGCCACACCGTTCCTCTAAGGCTGAGGAGACGCCGAATCGTAGAGTAGCAAGATTGGACAACTTGCTGAAGTTGGTCCTCCCGAGAAACACCGACGCGAACGGAGCCATCAACGATTTGATGCGACAAGACGACGGGACCGCGTCACTTGCCCTCAGCGATTTGAGTTCCATCCGAGCCTTCATCACCACTTACTATCGAGAAGGTTGGTTTGCCCAAGCGCCAGTTGGCCACGATCGTCCGAGTCCTCCGTCAGACTTATTGACAATTACGATGCACGACAACGACGACGGCGAATCGAGCCCTTCAAGCGACCCTTCGAGTGAGCGTGCATCTGAAGACGTGGCATCGGTCGCTGTTTTGGGAGCGCCAGCTGGCCTCGATCGTCAAAGTCCCCCGTCAGATCCATTGGCAATCGCTGTGCAGGAAGTTTGCGACGGTGTACCGAGCCCTTCAACGGTCGCTGTCCCGGAAGCCCAGCAAGTTTAAGAGAATTTAGCGTCGAAGAGGTAGATTAAAACTTAGGATCTCCAGAGGTGGGCCTCGCGTGCGACACCACCCATAGCATAAGTGTTGTACAATGTTGAAGGGAATTTTGAGGTTCGGACCACTGGATAGTCGGCTGGACTCTGAGCTCGATTATTCGTGCAACACTCGGGCGACTACCTGCCTATGGCTCAAGGAAGACTTTCAGAGATTCGGTGTACGAATGAATGTCTCCCCCTGTTTGGGGCGTTCTTTATTCCAGTATTTATACTTCTCTCCTAAGAGGCCTCTTTACTTATCGTATCTTCTGGCTATCATAAATCTCACGGCAAAGACGCACAGTCGAACAGCTTTATCTTTCTCAAGACGTCGGGCTCGCTTTCTTACATTCTGGTTCGGATGTCGCCTCTCCGTTCACTCGCTTATCTACGCATGTTAGTCATAGTGCCGACATTCGGCTGGGAACGGAATCTTCCATCAACTCCCCCTTCACAGTCAATGTCGGCCAGGGAATCACTCAGAGAATTTGCTAGAAGTAAAAGCAATGATAAAGACGCTCTCGTGGAGACCGTGGGAGAAAGATGGGTTCAGCTATTAGCGCGGTCGGCATGTTGTTTTGTCCTCAGCTGACTCGACACCGGTAAATGGCGCGTTTACGTGATCCACGGTCACCTCGAGCGGGCCTTCAGACCCAGGGAAAATTTCGTCATCCTTGAAGAAACATTCACCGAAATACCGGTGACAGTTGTGATAATCATTATTCAGTTCACTTCGTCTACGGCTCTTGAATCAAGAATTCACTGAGTGGTTCCGAGCGGATACCAATCAATGATGCAGTCTCCGCACGAACACCAATCAACGATGCGGCTCTACCAGGACTCCAATCACGATGCATCGGGAACTCGTTTGAAAAATTGTGTTCGAGTTTTTCATTGGTTACCGGTATGGCAGTTATTCCAACGGAGTATTGTCTTCTTCTCTTGTCTGAACACATCATTTGAGTTCCGACGCTGGATCGCTACGCACGGTTTTCGCCATGTCGCCAGTTCAGAGGACCGCCGATCAGATCAAACATCGCCGCTGCTGCGCTAGTAGTTCCGATGCCGAATCCGGACAAAGACGTCGCAGGAGCCGGTGTTTAGCTCCAAGCGGGACCTCCCCTCGTCGTCGCGATGAAACCGCACCGTCGTGTTCGTGGCTGACAAGCGATACCGAAAGTTTGGAATCGTCGACTCATCCTCCGTCGCCTGGACCGTCGTATGCGAGGCTCCTTCCGAGCTTTTCTCAGCTCGATGATGAGACGATGGCATCGATTCCCAGCTTCAGGTTTCCGGAGAACGATTTGGGCGGACTGCACTCGAAACCGAAGACGAGTACACCGATCAAAGAGAGGACGATTGAGGATCCCGCGGCGGAGAGGGCCGTCGCGCGTTCAGGCAGGAACGACGGTCGAGTCGGCTGTCCGTAAACTGCTCACACGACTCAGAGGGCCGACCTGGGTCCGGCTCCGCGCAGTGCTCCGAGCCGTCCCTCCGTTCCGACCGCGGCCGCCATTCCCATGCCTGCGCCAAGACCAACCCGCGTCGTCGCCCAGGTCGTCCCGGAGCCGATGGAGATCGACCGGACGAGGGATGCCGAGAGTCAGACGATCCAGCGATGCGATCGTCCTGTGTTCCGCTTCTCCGGAAAGATGTTCAGCACGCTCCTGGTGTGTCTGTTCCCGACGGCCCTGTTCCTGGTCTGCCTGCTCGCGATTCTGCAACGTGAGTTGACTCGCTGGTCGATCTCTTAGATATTCGTTAAAGGTAGATTTGTTGATTGCCATTGGTACTAAGCATGATTTATCTTTTCAGATGGTGGAACGGTCTCTGTCGTTTCCTCCCCTAACTCCACCTCGGTTGTTATCCGAACGAATCTCCCGTCGTCCCGCAACTCCTCCTTCCTCCCGCGGTTCGAGAGTTTTCCGAAGCCCCCGAAGGCCACACCGGTCCGCACTCCGGTCATCGAGTATCCTTCGAGGAACTCAGTGCCAGTGCCAGGGCCGGCTGTGAAGCCCCCGAAGCCTCCGCCGCCGCCGCCGCCGAGCCATCCGAAGTCCGTGCCCGCCGCCACTCCTCGGCCTTTCGAAGCCGCTCGTCCGTCCATCCATGAGGAGCAAACAGTCGACACGCGCCCCTTCAAGCCCGGGTATCAACTGCCCTTCTTCGATTGTAGACGGCTGAACCATGATCGCCTCTGCATGTCCCGGGAGTCTCGGGCCTGTGTTTTCGTTCCCTATACCGGACCGATCCCGGAGTATGCCTTCGTGAGAAGCGTCCAAGACAGGACGAAAGTCTCGAGCGAAGATGTCAGCGCAGCCCGCGATCATTGTCGAGGGTACCAGATGTTTGAATCGAAAGATTTATACCAGTAAAATAGATATTGAAGGGACTGGTTGAGCCAGACCCGATTCCGATAATGGATCTATTTATTTTGCCTGATTCTGGGATCTTACACTATGGGCGAATTAATTTGTTCCGTTGTCTCCTGATATGGGTCCTCTGTATCCTGTAGACCAGTGGTTCTCAAACGTTTTTCTCTCGCGTCTCCCCTCAGCCTTGTGAGTGGTCTCCGCGTCTCCCCTCAAAGTCGGCAAATTTCTCCGCTGGAAAAAGAGTCTTGAACACGACACCATGACGTTCTCTCTGCGGACTATTATGAGTCCTTACTTTATTGTACAATCTGATGCCCATGAGAAGGATGGGCTTGTTTCTGATATTTCCGTATGACTTCCTCGACATTGATCTCTAATGCAGTAACCTTGAGACGCAGTGAGTCTGATAGGACCAATCTGTTCCGAGTTTCGGTTTTCAAACCCACCATGGCTGAGAACCCGGTCTCACAAAGATAAGATGAAGTGAAAGGTAACAGAAATCGCAGAGCCTCCTTTGACAAGATAGGATGCGAGTCTCGAATCGAGAGCCAGAACGAAAACCGTTCGTTCTCTTTAAATTTGGCAGCTAGTGTCCTATTGGTGGAGAGGTCTAAAAGCTCCTCTAGCGCGTCCGCTGAAATACCAGTTCTCACAAACTCATCGACAAATGGATTAACGATCCAATTCCTTTGCTTGCATGCCTCCATTTCGTTCCCGAAATACGTTTCGAAACTGCTCCTCAAATTCTGCAGATGCTCAATCGTTTCATTCTTAACTCGGGATGGTACCTTAATTGCGGCTTCGAGAACGTATGCTTGGAATGCCTCAAAGCATCCGAAACTCCCATCACAGGCGTTTGACTCCCACAGCGAGAGGCGTTTCATGAAACCGGCTATTTTGTCATGAACATCAAAAATGTCTTTACAGGCTCCTTGTAAAAACAAATTCAGATTATTGAGTTTCGTGAACATATCAGACAAGTAGGTGAGCCTCAGAAGGAAGGTTTCATCTTTCAAGTTCGTGGCGAACTCATCGTCCTCGTCCAGGAAGGCTGTCACTTCTTTCCGGAGCTCGACGAGCCTAGCCAGGACTCTCCCTCGTGATAACCAGCGCACTTCCGTGTGGAATAGGAGTTTTTCGTGCTGGCTTCCCATCTCCTCGCATAGTTTGGCGAAGAGACGAGACTGCAAAGGCTTCGTTTTGATGGAATTCACAATTTTGATCGCTGAGTCCAAGACTTGGCGCAATCCGTCAGGGATCTTCTTTGAGACTAAAGCGTCTCTGTGGATGCAACAGTGGGTGAACAGAGCCCCCGGGCTTACACGACGGATTCGAGAAATCGCACTATTTGTTTTCCCGCATATGGCCCGAGCCCCATCCGTACTCACTCCCACACATTTCGTCCAATCCGGGCACTTCTTCTTCACGTATGAATCGATTCCGTCAAATATCGTTTGGCCCGTCCCCCTGGTGATGGGTTCACAAAATAAGAGGTCTTCATGAGCAGCATCTTCATGGATGTACCGAACGTACACGAGCAGCTGACAAAGGCCTTCAACGTCGGTGGACTCATCGAGTTGGATTGCAAAGAAAGTACTTCGCTGTACTCTCTGTATGACAACATCCTCGATCCACTCCGCCATTTGGTTGATCCGCCGCGCCACCGTGTCGTTCGAGAGCGGTATCGACTCAATCTCTTTCACATATTTCTCGTTGAGCACAATGGAAACCGCGTCTTTGATAGCGGGTAGAACAAGGTTTTCACCTGCTGTGTGCGCCATGCCACACTTTGCGATTCTCCAACTTATTTGATACGAAGCGAGCATCACCTTCTCGCTTAGTTTCGTGAACTTCGTCAATTTCGTCTGGGCAATCGTCATCTCCGTCAGTTTTCGTTCAAAGAATACCAGCGGTTTTTCCGTGAGGTCGGGATGTCGACCCCGGAGGTGCCGGAGCAACATATTTGGACGCATGCTTCCGTTGCCCAGGCGTTCGTTGCACACCACGCACAAAGGCCGAGGCTCGGATTCGTCTCCATCGTGCGTGAATCCGAAAGAGAGATACGTCGGTTTATATCTCCGTGTTTTTGCTGCTCTCTTCGACGTTGGCGTCGAATCTCCGGAAGAGTCGCCAGCTTTCCTTTTGAGACGCCACCTTTGCATGGTTATACTCTTGAGGGCAGTTGATCACGACAAAACGTACCGATTTACTCGATCGTCGCACGATTCGTTCGAAATCAGCCGTAGCGTAGGGAAAAAGATGGACATGGCTCTACGAAAACATCGGACATGCGCACCTGACACATGTCGCGATGCGTCGACTTCGCTGACCGGCGCGACAGTTCAGCGATGACTGACTATCGGTAATTCGTCCCGAATATGTCCGGGTTGGGAGTATTACAAGGAACTCGCCGCGTCTCCCCAGATTTTTTCGCGCGTCTCCCAAGGGAGACGCGTCCCCCTACTTTGAGAAACGCTGCTGTAGACGGTTGTGGGGTACCTCTGTCTGTCTTGACCGGAACCATCCCACGATGAAGTATCCACTGACGACCATGTTCATAACTGCCGAGATGGCGGAGAACACGGACAGGATCAGAATCGTTTTTCCACTGTTGCTGTCTGGACTCGGCCCTGGGGGTGTTGGACTGGGTGGAGGTGTTGGAGCCGGGTGAGCAGCCTCCCAATCCTTCCAGATGCTTTCGCCTCCCTTCGGTGGAGCATTTTCCGCGAGACACACTGTGTTCTCTGATGCTCGTTCCATGCAGGCTTCCTCGTTTTCGTAGCAGTCGCACGGGGAGTGCGTTTTGGTGATCTCCGTTATTGTACAGGATCGTTTTAGTCGTCTGCAGGTGTCTGAGCAGTCGTCGTACTTGAAGTACGAGCTGGCATTGGTGATGAGAACCAGGATGATTATTGCTTTCATGACTCAGTCTCGGTGATTCCTGCTAAAGAGCGGAGTTTCTGGAAAACGGGTCGAGGAAGCGGTTTGGTCAGGAGATCCGCGATGTTTTCTGCAGACGGGATGTACTCGATGGTTATCTCTCCCTGCTGGAATTTCTCTCGGGCAAGGAAGTGTCTTACGTCGATGTGTTTCGATCTTCGATGAGTCTGGTCGCTCTCTGACAGGCTGATGGCTGACTGGTTGTCGACGAAATGTCGAGGCACAGTCCTATACCCAAGTTCTCCGAGCAAGCGGGCGGTCCATACACTCTCTCTCACGCTTTCTGATAAGGCGACCGT